AGTTTCAAAGTGAACTGTCCAACTGTTTTGTATATGCATACAGCTAACAAGCCTGATTATGTACGGCTTAAATTTCGGAGTTACATGCAGGTTCTTCATGACTGTAGTACTAACGGTTATTAAAAGTAGTTAAATGGATTTCGTCAAAGAAAGAAATCACTTAGAGACACACTAAATGGCAGGTAGTATTGGATGTCTATTTGGTTCTAGTTTTGGGGATAAAAAAGACCTGTCTCCCACTTACCCTAGCTAACTATCAGAGGACCAATGTATTCTTTAAGAGATTATCTTGTCGAGATAAGAGTAGAACTCGTGCAGTGTGTAAAGCACAATTCTACAGTAGAATTATTTTGTTTAGCCTAGCACACTGTGACACAGTAATGTTTATTTCATGTCAGAATTTTTAGGAGTAAAGTTACTCATGCGGAATGAGAGATCTTGAAAAAATGAGTAATTTAAAGAGAAGCCTTCAGCCATTTCACTGCTTGGACTAAAATGCCCTCTCACATTAAAGTAGGTCAATCCTATAAATCTGAAAGTTCACATTGTTAAGTGGTGATAAGAGTTTGACACTGAATAATTATTCATCTAATCAACACCTAACACGTGCAATAACAAAGATGCGACATGAATATTATGAATAGGGAAAATGGTCAGCGGTGAGAGGAGCATGAAAACAAAGTAGAAAATTCGTACTCTGATATTATAAAGGGTAATAATAAACTATCCTATCATAGAGCTTACCCTGTAATTGTGATATGATCCCTGAACATAGGCGTTTTAAATTGGTGGATGGTGACTAGCAGTGGAATCCAGGATGTGCATTTCGTCCTGTTTTAGGACTCGTCAACTGGATGTATCTGCATTTTCCAGTGAGTGATGATGTTCCCACCGAGGCTCAAACCCAGTACCCATAGTTTCAAACGCCAAAGCGTTACCCACTAGACTACTTGGGCCACGACAGCCACCTCTTGTGCAATGGGTCATATTAATTATTAAATTGAATTTTAGATTTTCTCGTCGATCGATTAGAAACCGAAGTGCTCGGTCTCAGGTTGACATGTTGGCTTCTTGTGCAGATGATTCGACGATGTCTGGCGCTTGAAACTATGAGCACTGGGTTCGAGCCTCGGTAGGGAACATATTCACTCACTGGGGAATGCAGGTACATCCAGTTGACGAGTCCCAAATAGGACGAAATGCGCATCCTGGATTCCACTGCTAGTCACCATCCACCAATTAAATTCTAATTGCATGCCCAGACATCGTCGATTCATCTGCACAAGAAGCCGATATGTAAACCTGAAACCAACCACTTCAGTCCAATCAGTCGACGGGAAGATCTAAAACTTCAATTTAAATAAGCATTTTTGTAGAAACAACGATATACATATATATGTATAAAAGAACTACTTGGTTAGTAGTATTAAAACCAGCTGAAGAGTTTTCAATTCATTAAAAAGAATTCATAGCTGACTATAATTTCTAAGACCTGTGTTACTCCAATCATGGAACTCTCTTCCCAGAAAAGTCATATTTACGGAAATAAAAAGCAGCTGGTGTTAATTTGACTAAAAAATGACATAAGTCCATGCTTGCATAAGTCATTTGAAGATGGTTGATGCGAAACCAGCTAACAGCAGACTATGTGAATTGTGCATCAGATCATCATCAATGCAGCTATTTATCCCTAGCACTTCACTAAAATGTGTCAGTCGACTTAGGTATATGGTCACGCATCCAAGTGTTACAATGCGTCTGATTACTGTGATTCATTGTGATTGAACACTAAATTTTGGCTTAGTGACCGTATTGCATATACGATTGATGGATATCTCTAAACACCCTTAGGAATAGATGAACAAATAAATGACCATCTGTTGACTTATTCACGCATATATACTTCAATCATCATGGTATAGTTGTAAAGCCCTGCTGCAATTACTAAGGTGAAATGAGTAATTTTCCAAGGTTTAACATATGCTTTATTCATAAATGTCAACAAACACCGGAGTTAAAGCCAAAGTCTCCTTTCTGTTAGTTACTTATGCTATTTTAAAACTACAAAGTATCCAAAATACATATTCAGACAACGAAATCAAGCTGTAAAGTGTAAATCATAAAAATAATTTTGTGTCGCAGCTGCTATTCTGATGATGGGCTGTTCCAAAAAAGCTTTGGAACGAATTCATCACCCTTATTATTTCTCTTACTTCCCTTTAATATCCGACAAAATGAACCAGCTTAAAAGCTCCTTTTTCTAACATATAAGTCAGCATTCTCATCTTTCCGCTCAAGATTGTGGACGTACATACTTTGATTAGTCCTCAGAAAAATAATTCAATTATCAAGTGTCGGTTTGCACGGAATTAATAGGTTACAGGTTTGGTCACCAGGTGACGTTAGTTAAAGGACCACTGAGAAACCACAGAGAGCTAATCCGTCCTGGTTTGGGACTCTTCATCACGAGCTTCCTGTTTCTGAAGAGCCTCAAAGTAAGATAATAAAGCTGCCCAGTTCTTCCTGGTTTTCCAATGGTCTTCCAGTTGATATGAGTTCGTGACCAAACTTGTAAAACAATTTAAATTTCTCAAAATAATAGATTAAAGCACCAAGACCAAAAGTGATTGATTGACAAACGCATAAATCCACAAGACACAAGTTTCTAAACCCACAAACTGATATGGATAGATTTAACTACCAATACGTTCCAGTAGTATATTTCTCTTAGCATAAATATCTTTAGAATTTTTAAGTTTATATCTTTTTGATATATTTCAGTCATCACAAAGAACACAACTACAGAGAGTAAAGCCTTTTTTCTTTTTGACAAGCTCACCTACTAATCCATGCACTTCAAAGCATAGATTAGGTAGGCTGGCCCTATTCAGGTAGGTAGTTACCTGTGGGTTCCAGTGGGAAGTCGTGACCAGTAGGGTTCAGAAGGTCGGGTGTGAGAACAAATACTCACCGAAGACATTGGTTAGGGGTCGCGCTATGTTGTGAATTGGCAGAAGTTAGAATTCATGGGCCATAGGATCAGGTCTCAGTGGCTTAATGGTCTACGAGATCGCCTTGTAACCAGAAGGTCATGGATCCGAACCGCAGTGGTGGGTGCGTAGTGATGAAGAGTCTCAAACTAGGACGAAACAGCTATCCAGTACTCTCAGGTTTTCCAATGGTTCTCTAACCAATGTCAGCTCATGATGAAATCCTGTAACTAATCAACCAAATCCCTACAAACCAATACTTAAATTCTGGTTATTGGTCAAGAGAAATTGATTAACAAACGGAAAGTAACGCAATCTAACTAAGGATACAGAATGGGATGTAAAACTGGCGATTAATAAATGATCGATTTGTGCGGTTAGTGACTTATCTGAATAGGTCAGCATTTTATGATGACTACAGTGATGACAAATGTTTCATGTGTTTGTCTGAACCCCATTCTTTATTAGTACCTCATGCACATCTAGATACTTTAATCGCTATTCCTTAGTAGTTTCTTTCGACATTGTAACGTTACAACATGGTGGCATATATCAACTCATGATTTCATAACAGATTTTTGAGTGGCGGAAATCAATTTTATGTCCCAAAGCTTACTTTTGACCGACTAGCTTCCAAAATCTTTCATTTAGTGACATCATCCATCCTTGAAACGAAAAGTCTTCCCGTAGCCATTGGACGGTAAACGTATATATTCTGTGCTCTGCAATTTTAGTCGAGACTAGGTTATTATTTAATTGGTGGATGGTGACTAGCAGTGGAATCCAGGATGCGCATTTCGTCCTATCTGAGACTCGTCAACTGGATGTACCTGCATTCCCCAGTGAGTGTTGATATTCCCTTCGAGGCTCAAACCTAGTGACCACAGTTTCAAACGCCAAAGCGTTATCCACTAGACTACTTGGGCCACGACAGCCACCTCTTGTGCAATGGGTCATATTAATTATTTAATTGAATTTTTAGATTTTCCCATTGTTGGGAAATGCACTGAGAAATGCAGGTACATCCAGTTGACGAATCCCAAAAAGGATGAACTGCACATCCTAGATTCCACTGTTAGTCACCATCCACCAATTAAATACAAATTAAATGCCCAGACATCGTAGAAGCATCTGCCCAAGAAACTGACACGTCAACCTGAGACCGAGCACTTTGGTCAAATCAGTCGACGGGAAAATCTAAAATTCAATTAGAGACTAGATTATTCTTTTATATGGCTTGGTTACACACCCGACCTATCTTCTCTTACAAGCTCAGAACCAGGTAGTTAACTGGTTATGCCCGAAGACGAAGTGAAGTGGATTGTGTGAAGAGTAAATGAAAGGTTTTAGACAGTTGCAGAGGCTGCTGAAACTGATGGCAAAGAACCAGTTAGAATGATGATGTTTGACTGAAGCATTAGGTCAGCAACATTTCTACCATCCAACAGTCCGGGAATAAAATATCAAAATGGAACTTTTCAAAGCAAAACCTCTAAGGTTATCAGAAACTTTCCTATCACTCTAGTCTCTAGACGTTTCGTCATTGTAAGTATTCTCTTCATGCCACAATAAAAAGCACAAGAACAAATTTGTTAGGTAAATAACGATAATAATTATTATTATTATACATTGGCAATACAATTTGTACAATTTGTTTTGTATGAAACAACGATAGGAATAACTCAGATGAATTATCATAGACTTAAATTTTATTTTCATCTGTGTATACACTCAACTGTAAAATAAAGAAATGAACTAATAAAGTAAGAATAAAGAAACACTTAAATAAGAATTAAATAATTATATATTTACATACAGGAGAACTGATTTACATGCTAGAAAAATGATAATATTAGCTATCGTGTTATATATATGTGTAATTTGTTATTAATAAGAAAGAAAGAGCAAAGTAGAGTAGTAAAAGTTGAAGACTATCTTTTGAAGTTTATTGTATATTATGCAAAGGAATAAATAAATGAAGGCGGATTGTCTGAAATAATAATAATGTTGCTAACATCTAAAAAACTCGGGAAATTGTACATCTAACATAGAAATTTTCTTGTATATACTTTTCTTCCATGCTGGATTAGCATCACGACTATTTAATACTGCATCAGCGAATTCCCATACAGTTATTTGAATAGCGTCCAGAAATTCTTTCGGAGTCTATTTAAAGAAAAATAATATGAAATGTGAATAGATGCGTTAGGGAGCTTTATCGTTTTCATCAAATGAATATAAACCTCAAATGTAATGGGATGTTAAACGAATTTCCATCGGTAACTTGTGCCTAATATTAATTCTGTATAATTCTGCAGTACAAAGGGGAAGTCCCTCCTAGATATTGTTTCGGTACATATCTTTCTCAAAGAGAGAGATTAACAGAAGGATATGCTGAAGTCGACTTATGCAGTTGATGGTCATATGAATGCTTATTCTTAAGATCCTTTTGAGACAATAGAGATGAGGTAATGACTGGTTTATTAAAAAGTCTACAACTTTTGAATACGTCAAGTATAATACCATGGAACGTTTCTATAACAGACGATCTCTCTTACTCACGCAACTACTAGAGTTAATTTCATTGAACTCAATATGCCTCAATCAGAAACTAAAGTTCTCAATACATTTTTTGGGTTTTTCTCATACAAGATGAAGAGAATATGTTGTTTATTCGTCGAGATCTAAAAAGATTAAATACTGTTATCTCGAGTGATCCATTTTCATGTGGATATACCTAGTCGTCACCTAATTTAGAAATACAACATAACTGCTTAAACTCTGAACACTGAGTGGTCTTTCAGAAACTGTCGACATTCCATTGAAAAAAATCAGAAGAAGTCATATAAATAAACAGTTTAACTCTTAAAAAAAGGATTTCAATAACTTACTTCAATTTCATCGCCTTTATTGAAATGCATTTCCATGCTACGGATTAATTCATGTTCACGAGACAGCATTATATCATCGGCTTTCTTCAAACCAGCTGCTTTCTGTTGACGAACAAATTTTTCTATCTGTATGTAAAAAAACTCTCTACACACCAGGGAAAAAAATACCAAAAATATGGATATAGGAAAGAAAAAAAAGTAAGAGGTTAGTTGTTGCATAGATGAGGTAAGTGTGTAGTTCTTTTTCTCATTTACAAAACTGTGATATACTGACAGGTATCTAGAAGCATAGTGAAACATTCACTCATTGGATCTACTAGCCCTGCCAAATGATAACATTTAACATCATGGCTTGTGAGATGTTAACGAAAATTTCTCGCTCCAAGTGGTCTTGATTGAGACTAAAGTCTTTTTTTTGGAAAGATCTATCAATCTAAGCACAGGAATGATCCAGCTTAGTGATTCTTTTCTCACCTAAATCCTTCCCATCAGTAGTCAATATCAGAAAATATACTTCCACTGCTCTAAGCACACATTCTATTCTTCACCATCATCGTGAATAAAGCACATTTAAGCATTGACGCATTAACAACAGAGAATGAAAAAGCAAGCAAGAACAAATCACCACAATGATAGACAATGACAATAGTAGAAAACATGCATATAAGAGGAACAACACTTCTCACCAATATTGTGCAGACCGATTTCATTATGTTCGATTCATCATCATCATCATTATGATTATCGTATTTATCGGCGATTATAAATCCCTTCCCGATAGAGTATTTTTTTGTTTTGAAAATAGTGAATGGATGATGAGAACATTGTCAATCGGAGGATGTTGTGCATTCATTCATTCATTTATTATCATCGATCATTTTTGTTTAATAAAAAAAGGTTTTAACTAGCTTACCGGAAATTACTGAACCATTTTACCAATTGTGCGGTGGATCCTCGATTGAAAATTACTTCAGGAAAATAGGACTTCAGTAGACTTGATGTTGGATAACGCGAGTACATAAACATCATTTTAGCTTTTTTCAAGTGAACGGCACTCAGTGTTGTCGTCTAAATTTGAACAAAATAAGAGATGAAACCATTGTTAGTTGTGATCAAATGTCTAAAAAACGTTTACCAGCTGAAAATAGATTAGCTAATTATATATAATTATTTCCGGAAGCTGTAACTATGCACGTATATACTTTTAGTTAATTAAGTTGAAAGAATTCAGCAATGTGGAACTTACTCTGGTATGATTGCTCAGTATCGATCTCTTCAAACGTGTATGGGAATAATTATTTTGAAGATTATGAGATGATATCGCCACTTCAGATTGACTTTTGTCATCATCAGCAGCTTCGTGATGAATTCTCAAATCGAGTGACTCATCCAAGTGTGGGATTTTGTTCGGTACCTCCTTTTCATCACTATGTATCTGGCGTTTATTGTCAATGGGTGATTGAGTGTTCGATTTTTTCACCTCATTCTTATTCACAAATAGCTGGCTGTTGAATTGATGAATTCTTAATCTACGAGTTTTGTTTGCAAGACGTAGCTGTCGTGTTCTCGATGAATCCGTTGGTGAATCTTTTGTGGGAGTTGTTCTGCACGATGAATTGCTTAGTTTCAATTCAGAGGACACACGATTATTGGGGTTGAAGTCTTCTTCATTTCGTAGATCCTCACCAGGCATACTATTGGCGTCACTTGCTGATTCTGCAGTAATATTACTTTTAGAGAATTTCAAATTGAGCGGAGTCACATTTAAATCTTCCGGAAAGTTTACTTGAACAGATTTCAAGGAGTTACAATAATCCAAGAAATTTGATGAAGTATTAGTATCTTCAAAATGATTATTCTGTAGATACGTCTCTAACTGTTGCATACTATTATCAATAAGTTTAATCATTTCCCGGCGAACTTGACTAAGAATCTGATTACACATTCGACTACGACGTTCAGGTGACTGGGGAGAATTATCATTATTAGTAGCATCATTATCAACTCTTGTTGAGTTTTCAAATTGTCTATGATGCTTTAACTGTTCACTAAGATGTTGTCTATATAAATTTTGAGAGATATTTGTTGTAACTGATGGTACTGGTCTTGGATAGAATGAATTGTATTGACTTAAATGAGCATATTCATTGCTTCCGTTAGCTACAGATGGATGGTTAAAATTTCCAAATCTCATATCTGGTTGTGATAACAGTTGACACTTGTCATTAAATCCACCAAGAAATTGAAAATTATTTGCGTTTACTTGACTTCTCATATTTTCTTCACAATTACTCAAAATATCTCTATTCACTGGACGTCCAAAACAAGCAGGATGCGGAATTAATCGAGCTTGATTAAGTAATTCTAAAGCAACAATCTCCAACTTTTCTCTTTGATTAGAAGGATTATGAATACACGCAGGATGTGAATAATCCTTATAATGATTAAAGAGTTCAAAAGTTGGCATATTGTTAAGCATACCAGTTGGCGTTGAACTAGATCCAACCGAAGAATATCCTTCATCGGTTAAAGGACTATACAATGGAGTTATCTTCTCAGTATTAGACATATCCTTCAATCCATTGAAACTTAATGAGAGTGGATGGAATTGATGCGGATTTGACTGAGATACTGGTGTTGAATGAAGATATAATCCTTCTAAACCGTGAAGTTTAGACTTCTTGGATTCAGGGGAATGAAATCTTCTATCATCCTCCAAATAACTTTCCATGATTTTGTCTATTTTTTGATATTTATAAATTTAAAATATATGTTTCTTTTCGTTTCGTTGTTTCTAAAATTTACAGAAATAAAAATAATATTAGCATAAATAAAAAAATCATTACCATAGGAAACGACAGCCACTTTATCTTGTAACATAAACTAAATAAAATCCTCTTATATCAGGTATAGATTGGGTATGTATACGTTGGTGGTTTAGGCGTAGAATGCTTGCAAACCACATATGCGCTACGAGGTTTCACTCCAGACAGCATCCACTCTTAAACCACACCTAATTTACTAGATGGTAGTAAGATTGGGAAAGAAGAAGGGTTGTGTTTGAGGTTACTAACATCCAGTTGACGAGTCCCAAATAGGACGAAACGCGCATCCTATATTCCAGTGCTAGTCACCATCCACCAATTAACTTCACAATCTTGAAGTCTTATTTTCCACTTGGAACTCTAGGAAGTGACAAATAAACGATAAGATTTATTGTTGCACAACTAACAAGTGCATTGATGAGGTTATTTTAACACGCGTCCACATTCCGAATGAAGTATCTTCACATTTCATTTATTCTGGAGTGTTATCCAAGCAAAATACACAATGTTGAAGTCTTCAATAATGAAATCGCTACTTAATAAGAGATATACTATCTAATATCATCTAATCTTATCGGTGGGTATCTACATTAACGTGGCTTAGTAGACTCTGTCGGTCAACACTTGTCATTATCACTCTAATCTCATAGCTAGTCACCAATTAACAAGTTGAGAGTTCGTAGAAAATTAGGTGGTTTCATAGTTGATTTCGCCAGGAATCTAAGTGAACCAGGGAAAGGTGTTTAAAATTCAAGGAGTAATAACAACATTGCTACTACAAGGAATTATGAATTTAATCAGACAGAAATAGGCAACAAGTAATCTGTTATTGTCTGTGTATACCACCTTCAGCTCATAATATAGTCTTAATATAAAGGACAATAATACTGACAGGCATAAAGACTGTTATCATCAAAATTGAACACCAGGTGTTTATCCTAGTAACACTATTTCACTCTTCACAATTCCTTCATTCTTATTATCCATTGGAAGGCAAAAAAAATGGGTATTTATCAATTTAGTTCCCATACAACGATGTTTTGAATAGAAAAGTTGAGTGTCTTGCATAACTTAGGCAAACATGTCTGTCTACATTTTAAGGGGGAGAGGGGAGGGGATGGAATTCTCTTTTGAACTATGACTTAAATATAAAATAAAGTCATTCCAAATTTCTAAGAGAAATCTAACTGTTGATCAAAATTAATTTTATCGCAATTAACTTAGTTGATAGCGACTGACAATGGAATCTAGAATGCACATCTCGTCCTATTCAGGACTCATCAGTTTAGATGAACCCACAATCTCCACTGAGTGATGATGGTATTCCATTCTAGACAAGAACCTTGCACCTACAGTTTTAAACGATATAGTCTTATTCACTAGGCCATGGAGGCCACGATAGCCACCTTCTATGAAATGGGTGTCAGTTATTATTTGTTTTCAGAATTGAATCCCCGCTGATTGATTAAAGTGAGCCAAATTGCTCAGTCTTTATTGACATAGGCATCCTAGATCCTACTGATAGTCACCATCGGTCAAAATCAAAGTCTTAAATAATGAAAGTCTGCAACTAACTGACAAAGTTAAAAGGTTTACAGTGTAGAATTATCAGTAAAAAGTTACACAAAAGTGTAGTTAGGACACTTCCCCTACTACTCATCACATCAATCTGTTGGAACAAAATTATTACAATACAAATTTCATCATGTTAACACTTTCCCTCTCTCTCCCTCTCTCTCTCCCTTACTTACAGTCTACTAATTTATACATAATCAAAGTTAAATACGTACAACGGGGTATCAGTATGAGACTCCTAGAAAAAATTTCCTATCGCTTAAATAAAACTCTCTACACTAACGACCAGTTATGACACAGCAAAGAATAAAAAAAGGCATTTGACTTACTTGAAACGATGAGTCTGACAAGACGGTGTATTACCAATTGTAATAATAACAGTAATAACAGATGATTCGTTCTTAATTGAATCACCGTAGTATAATGTATGTATTTCTCTTAACTGATCAGTAAAGAGAAATGAGTTGACTCGAGAATATTTGCAAACGCAGATAACGAAGTAGTTCACGTTAAAACTTTTAAGATTTTAAAAGCTTTAAAGGTAAATGCCTACTGGCGTTCAACCTCCTTATATACCCTTTTTTATTCCCTCACTTTCCAGTCCTCCTATCCACCTACCAATCCCATAAGGGAATATTAAATTGACACGAGTACACTATTTCTCTTTATTTCTGTCTTCTTATCAAAAAGATCTTAGTTGCTGTGGTTTATGAAACACTGGTACAGGCATACTAGAGATAATAGTAATATTAATAATAATAATAATAACAATAAGGAAAATTATGATGAAAGAGGGGAGTAAATGCTTCATATTATTTCATTCACACAATATTCTCACTTACCCCTGATTTCTGCTTATTTTTTTCCTTCTTCTCCTTTGTTGACTTGTTCGTTTGTTTGTCTATTTAATGATAAGATGCTGGTTAACCAGCTAATTCTGACTTAGACTTACGTATTTATTACAAACATGCCTTTCACAAAACGTTCTCTCTCTCTCTCTCTCTCTTCCCCTCTTCCCCTCCCCCCTCCATCTCCGTCTCTATCCCCCTTCCCTCCTTATCTTCCTCACCTCCCTACCCCACCCCACCCCACCCCACATTTTCCAGATCCAACATTTTTGTATATTGTCGTCAGCTTTTCAGCTTTCACCTTTGAATTTCTATCTATTCAACTACTACTCATTATAATCTCTCACCCATCCTGATAATAATAATAATAATAATAACATGCTCAAGCATACATGTAAATACATGTGTCAGTTCAAAGTTAATCCTCTGTAACCACGTGTATATATGACTTGTAAACAGAGATATGACTTTTTTTACAGATCGAAGAAAGAGTAAGAAAATGAAGAAAATATTATAAGATTAATTATATATGTGCATATATATGTATGTGTGTGTAGAATAAGCCACGTTCTTCTCTAAAACCCTGTATACCTGTACACACCGACCAAAAAAAAAAAATGAAGGATATATATCATTATCCCTTTTCACTTCATCAAAAACTCTTTTAGACAGCAAGTTACAAATTATGTGAAAAAGGGTACCCTGGTTTCATCTTCAAAAGACAAATAAATATTTTTAAAAAAATGAAAATAAAGATTAGTAAAAATGAAATGAAATAAAATAAATGTTTATATATGCTGGTGCCACGTTCCATTTCTGTTTGTAAAAGAAGTCACAATGACTGTGTGAGTAAGAACAGAAACAGCGCATAGACAAACAATATCAGCACCATTAAACAGTAAGCCTAATGGTAGTAATAATAATGATAATAGGTTAGTTAAGATTTCACCCTAGGGGTATATTCTAGATACTTCTAGATAATTCATCTTAGTGAGATGTTCTCATTCTTCATAAATCCTAGAGGAAATGCTAGAAATATACACAAGGAGTTAGATTTTGAGATGTATTTCGCATCTTGGACCTAGTTAATAATAATACCTCCGTCTTACTTTCAGTATTTATCAGTAGAGTACTTGTTTCTTCAATAGTAAATATCTTCAGTTTTAATATGGTATTAAGTTCCACAGCTAAAATGCGGCGGGAAGTATTACCGTGTACTGTTTACTGACTGCGATTTTCGTAGGTAACACCTTCGTGTCAGCCTTATGGGAACTTAGATTTTAAAGAAAGTACCCATTCCTGATACTTTATGCAATTAAATCCCGACCAACACTTGAAAATTACATGAATGATTTCATCATGAGCTGACATCAGTTAGAGAACCATTGGAAAACCAGCTGGGAGAATTGGACAGATATTTCGTCAGCCTAGTTTTGGACTCCACCACCAGAGTTCGAACCAAGGACTATCTCGTTACAAGGCGAGCTCGTAGACCACTGAGTCACTAGGACCCGATCCAATGGTCCTTCTGCCAATTCACGACATAGCGTGACCATTTCGCAATGTCTTCTTCGATGAGTTACTGCCTCATCTTCAACCTGGTGTACCCTACTGGTCACTGCTTCCAATTAGAATCCCTGGTTAACTGCCTGAATAGGGCCAGTCGCTAGTGAGCACCAGATGAATTTTCAGGTATTGGGTTTTGTTCGATTCCATGGAGGATTTCATCGTGAGCTGACATCAGTTAAAGAACCACGCGCTATGTCATAAATTGGCAGAAGTTAGAATTCAAAGATCATTGCATCGAGTCCCAGTGGCTCAATGATCTACGAGCTCTCTAACCTTGTAACCAGAAGATCATTGGTTCGAACCCCGATGGGTGCGTACTGGTGAAGAGTCCCAAACTAGGACGAAAAAGCTGTTCAGTACTCCCGGCTGGTTTCCCTGTGGTTCTCTAATTGATGTCAGCTCATGATCAAATCCTTCATGGAATCAAACAAAATCCCTACAAAACCAATACTTGAAAATTAGTCTAGTCCTTACTGGTGACTGACTACAGGATAGATGTGCGTGATTTTCTGGTTAGAAGTCATGACAATTGAGGTCCACCGAGTTGCACATGACAACAGATACTCATTGACGATATATATATATATGTCGTATACTGGCAGAACCAATGGGCCGTTGGACTCCGTTCGAGTGACTGAATGGTCAATAATTTCGTCTTCTAAATAGAGAGTCTTGGGTTCGATCCCTTCTGGGCTCATAAAGTCAGTTCATGGTTACATTATACGCAATTCTTTGTATCTTACAGATCATTACGGGTGGGTGTATCAGAGGCCTTAGTAAGAAGGATTACAAACAGTTTTGAAAGACGAGTGGAATTGATGGCTACATTTAGTTCATAGATTTTTGATAAAGATCACCGTGATACATTTGACAGACTCAAAAACAACTGGTCATCTGAATCCAGGGTTTATTAA